AGGCAACCTTCTTCCATTTCCCGGCGCATCCAACAGACGTCGAACTCGCCGCCCGTCGGCCCTCGCGCCGCGGCGACGATCTCGAGCTCGACCAGCGCCAGCTCCTCCTCTCCTCGCCCGGTAGTCACTCCCACCCCCAGCAGCATCAGCGGGACAGCCAAGAATGCACGGAGCTCGCGCCCCCGCTGCCGCCGCAGGCAACGCACTACTGGACCAGCGACCGCACGCGGAGGCTTGAGTACGCCGCCATCGACGCCGCAAGGACGGGCGTTAAGGGGTGGATGAAGAGGCATCTTGTTCCGGACTGCTTTGTGCCCAAGGAGAAGCACGTTGCGTTCGACGACGACACGGGTAGTGTGCGGCGGTACAGGCTCGAACTTGATGAGGACATGCCGTGCGAGAAGGGGTGTGGTGGGCGGAAGAGGGGTTGGTTTGGGTGGACTCGCTCCAAGACGGCTTGAGTCTCCTTTACCTTCACACGCTTCTTGCTTGATTTTTACGTCGTTTTCCTTTTGGTCCTTGATGCTGGTGTTGATTGTCTGGGGTTTTGATTTCGGAATCATGGATTGGAAAGGGGATGGGAATTGCATTGGCATCATTGAGTCGGCGCGGCATTTGCACAAGCGGCTGGGCAAGGCTGCATTGGCGTTTTATACCCAGCATTTGGTATCGTTGGATTCTTCGTCATACTGTTGTTTTCGTCTTTTCTTTATCGCATAATCTTGTTTTTAATGTTTTATTGTTCTGGTTGTTGAGATTCTCTTGGAAACGGGGGATGAAGACACGGAGAGAGTTGAAGTTTGAGTATCAGAATGGCATAGCGACACATAGATGATAGACGACGACACGAGACTTGGAAGATTGGAGAGAAGCGAGTCAGAGAAACAAATGTCTTTTTTGAGGGCTACAGTTACTCGTATACAGACTGATAGTTATTTACACATGTAGTCTCCAAGAGATTCAATTACATATCCACATACACGCCTACATCATATTTTACATGCCTTCTTTGACAATGTCATTGGCCGTGACCTTCATCAATCATACTTGCCCGTGGACAAGTGAGGCTCTTTTCATCTGATATTCCCATTAAACTGCCATCTGATGTTGTGGCAGATAGTGTCAACATCTTCCAGCCTACTGCAACACCACTGAATCTCTGCATACACCGCTAGTCTCCAAGACCCATTTGCAAAAAGCCTACATGAGCCTATCTGTCTGCACACTCGAAAAGCCTGGTGTCCTCCCGCCCGTCCGGAGCCGGAACACATTAGGCGGACCGGACCGGACAAGCCGCCATTCCGGGCGAAAGAAGCGGTGAAGAATTGAGTTATCACGACCCGCTTTGGGGGCTTCGCTAGGAATCTTGCGGCTCTTCCCCGGGGACGGGGGTCAGTATTAACAGGGGCTAGCCGAGATTCATTCCAGTCCTTTCTTGCTTAAACGGTGACTCCGGTGATGACCGGAGCCGACTAGCTAGGGGTCCTGTAGGCATGGCATCCGACTTCTGGCCTGAGAATGCAGAGGCTGGCGGTGTTGCTGATACACGTTAAGCGTGAGGCTGAAGTCAACCACCTCTTGTCTCCCGTCGATCTTCGATAGTGTCACATTAAGTTGCTATCTACTGGTCTCTCTCTCGTCGGCCTACACATCAACGACTTCACCGCCTATCCCAGCCACATCGGTCCCGTCAGAAAGCATCGCAGCCGCGAACCCAATCCTCCTCGCGCGGACACACAAGGACTACTGAAACTTCCGATCTCATCCCGAGATTCGACCCTCAAACTCAAGATAGCCTCACCTCGCGGCCTTGACGCACTCAATCACGGCAAGGTGCCGCCACGGTCCCTGACCCGTAGACACGCTCTTGATCGCGAGGCCCGCCCTCCCGAGAATGTCGGTCCAGCACTCGAGCGATCTTTGCTTGCCGCCAAAGGTGAGCATCATGAAGTCGAGCATCGTGGAGGTGTAGTGCGGCGGGTTCCCCATCACGTCCTCCTGGATTAGGAGCCGGCTGTCCTCCGCCATGGCTTCGGCGATGATGCGGAGCATGTTGACACCCAGCTCGTCGCCGTAGTTGTGTAGACACCGGCGGATCCAGTAGGTCAAGGCACCTTGAAGTCATGACACGGTCAGCTACCACAGACTCCTTGCGATGTAAAGGCAAGTGCATCTGGCTTCACCAAGCGGTGAACCAGCGAAATTTCGAGAAGATATCATCTCACCTTTAACAGGCTGCTCCTTGTGGAAATCAATAACCTGCTTCTGCACCAACCTCATATCCTCATCATCAAGCTTCCTCACAGCCTCCACCACTTCAGCACGATCCTGCAACACACACCTCTCCAACGGAAGCCCAGGGTTCTCGCGATGAATCGCCTTGATAGACTGACCCCGTCCCGCACCGACATCGACAAAGAGTGGCCGGTCGCTTGCGTTCTCACGAGCGTACTCGACAACCCACCCAAAGTCGTAGATGCCCGAAATGGGCATCTTCTCTTCGATAGGACCCATGGCGCGCAGGAACCGCTGCATCCGCGGCGGGTCGTGCTGCAGCATCTCGTACCAGCCGTACTCTGGCACGCCGTACGCGTACGTGCCGGGGACGTTGTTAAGAGTCTGTGGTTCTTTGCGGCCGTACTTTTCGAAGTAGGCTGGCATGTGGACGTACGGTACCAGGCCGTTTTCCCATCTGTGCTACGGCGTTAGTGAGGGATTCGCGAGGTGGTGATGGCGCTTGAGGAGGCAGGGGGAGAACAGACGCCATGCCGACAATTTGTCCCGCTGGGTGACCGTCGATGTAGATGCGAGAGCGCTTTGTGTGCGCGACGGAGTCGTCGCCGACTTGTTGTAGGATGCCCATTGAAGTTAACACACCACCAGTCCGTCCTGAACAAGTGTTACCAGAATATTCCCAATAGCTTCAATGGATTGGCCCTGAGGCAGTGCATTTCAAACTCACGTATCAGCGATACATCGGCGTCGACCTTCTTGGCCAGTTCACCGTACGAGATACTGCCTTCGGATGGGATGTGATCATAAACCTTCCATTCCCAAAAGAGCCGGTTCGCGCCCAGCTGCGCGACCTGCGCCGTGGCATCGAACCACTCATCGCCGGGATCTTTGACGGCGTTGATGAGCTTATTCGCCGCATCGATGATGCGCCGCCGTTGGCCCTTGTCCAAGTCACCCCCGGACGGTCCGGGACTCGTCACGAAGCTCTGGAGGGCCGCGTTGACTTCTTCCGTCGCTGCCGCGGCCTCCTCCCGGATCTGAGCGCCAATGTCGCTTGTCATTTTCGGTGTGGGACCCCGAAGCAAACAAAGTTCTACCGGGTCGCTGAGCGGCGCGGAATTTGCACGGCCGTGTTACACGGAGAATGTGATTACGTTCCCTTTCCGAACGAAGTTATGTGGATTCTGCTGCAGGTTTGCAGATCAACGGTGTGATTGCATGGGAAGCAAGTTGACTACGCCGCACGGGAAACCGGGCACACGGGATTTGACAGGCGTCGCGTTGTTGGAGAATGTACGAGTACGGAATGTGGGTGAGATGGGATGATGAACTGTGCCGTCCAGTAACAAGTCAAGCGCACATAAAGTTTCAGCAATGGATGTTGAGATCGGAGAGGGGAGCAATGACTTGAGGGGAGAGGAAAAAGCGCGCAAAAAAAGAACCTTTGGTCCGCATTTCCCTCCTGATGCGCCTCAAGTTCCCAAGCTCCCAAGCTTCTCCTCACTCGATGCGGTGATGCTACGTCCAGGGATGGACGGTAGCTGGATGCGGCAGCTCGGTGTGGTGTCTCAACCCACGTCGGTGATAACGTTCCGCGGTCGTCTAGTCCTACATGTTTCTGCATGAATTGGGGACACATTCCTCGAAGGATCGGAGGGGTTTCAACCGGCTAGCCAATGGCGCAAACGCAGCTACTGTCAAGCTAAAGCAGCACAACCAGTCGAGCCACAAGAATTGAGTGAAAGAGGAGGGGGGCCACAGACGTGGACTGACGGTCCGGCGGCTGGAGGACCTCGACTTTCAGAAGAGGAGGGGGGGGAGGAGAAAGAAGGACCGCGTGCTTGAAAGAAACCCGGCCAAACAAGACGGAGAAACAGAGACATCTCGGAGCGCCACTGAATGACGGCAGAGCGTTCAGCTCTCTCACAGACACAATCGAGGAGTCTGCCGTGTCCAGCTATTCTGCTCATGGCCCACGCTCCGGGAATAGTCTGGTGAGAAAAGGAATCGGCCTCTGTACTAACACTTCTAGACCGTGGCGCCGGTCTCCTACCAAACCCGGCTAAAGTTGTTCAGGACGCAGCTTGATAGGTCTGTTGAGCAAAGAGGATGGCGCAGGGGCATTGAAGTCGACTGAGCCGACATGCCACTTTGGTACGCAGACACACTTCAGAAGCCCAGACGTTTCCTTTTCGTCGAGCTGCTGCTGATGTGCCGCTGATAGACAAGAACAAAAGGTCCGAAGCCGTAGGGTAAGGAATGTAGAAAAAAGAAACAAACGAACCCCGAAACTCCGGTCTCAACGGCTTTCATTGTGGGCTTTTCCTGTCTTCCACTTTCTTCTTTTTCTTCGCCAGATGGTCATTCGACTTTGCTCATACCAGACTGGCTCGGTCCACGTTATTCCCCCCTAACCACTCTGCCTTTCTCCTACGTACGGGGTGCCGCTCCTAAGGAACCGTTTAAGGTTTCTGACAGAAAGACACTTATGTTCCTGGACCTGGTCAAAGACCCCAGCACGCGCTCCCCCTCTCCGTCTCATTCTTACGTTCGCGAATCTCCAGTTCAACGTCCAGTTTGGGCACATCCTGGCCAGACACACGAGCCCTCACTTGAGAACCCCAGGCGACGTCGATCGGAGACGGCGGTATCAATCGCTCCTCGGTGACAGAGTCGAGCAGGAACCGCGGGAAGGGAAACGGGACAGAATAAGCCGCTCGTACGTCTTCTTCTCGAGCCTGGTCTGAGCCAGCATCGCACAAGTCATGGCGGACACCACCACAGCAAGGGCAGAAGCCGACCAGCCCGAAAAGTCACCCTCCCCCCCTCTGCCTCAATCGGGACACCGCTCGCGATCAGGATCGGGCGGACGGCAGACACCACCACAGCAGGACTTTGAAGCGGAGAACGTGGTCGAGGCCGACACGGAAGATGACGGCGCGTCGTCGCGGGCGGGGGACGAGGTATGGGACGAAGGGTTCGACGGCAGCAGCATCGGCAACCACTCGGCCTCGACGTCGCTATCCAACAGCGTGCGCGACTACGTCTTTGAGAACACCCGGCGGTATCACAAGTACATGGAGGGCCGGTACCTGATGCCCAACGACGAGCCGGAGCAGGAGCGCGAGGATATGAAGCATGCCATGTGCGTCAATGTCATGGATGGAAAGCTTCATTGCGCGCCGTTGGAGAATCCGCAAAAGATTATTGATATTGGTACGGGGACGGGGATCTGGGCTATTGATAGTGAGTTCCCTTTTCGCATGATCGTCTGCTTTTAAGTATGCTATTTTGATAGCGTCTTCATGATAGACATGATGGCATCTAGACGATTAGTCTGGACAACCCTTCACCAGACGACATTCTTGAATGCCCAAATGACCTTGAGCAAGTACTGACACCATCTCAAGTGGGCGATGAGTACCCAGAAGCAGACATATCCGGCATCGACCTGAGCCCAATCCAACCAACCTGGGTACCCCCCAACGTCCGCTTCGTCGTCGACGATGCAGAGGCAGAATGGGTCTGGCCACCATCCTCCCTCGACTTCGTGCACGCGCGGCACATGTGCATGGCCGTCAAGAACTGGCCGCGCATGCTCTCCCAAGCTTTCACCGCGCTGAAGCCGGGTGGCTGGGTCGAGCTGCAGGAGTTGCGGTTCGTCCTGCAGTGCGACGACGGAACGATGCCCGGGCCCGAGGAGTACGGCTACGGCAAGTTTGTGGACCTCTGCATGTCCGGGTTCCGGAGCTTCGGCATCAACCCGCTGGCGATGGAGAGGAACTCGGAGATGCTCCGCGAGAGTGGGTTTGAGAATGTTGTTGAAAAGGTGTGGAAGGTGCCCATCGGGACGTGGCCGCGGGACCAGAAGCTCAAGACGATTGGGTTGTATAACCGCAGCATGCTCATTGATGCGCTTCAGGCCGTGAGCATGGCGCCGTTGACAAGGGGGCTCAAATGGAGTCCTGCTGAGGTGGAGGTGTTTTTGATTGATGTGCGGAAGAGCCTGATGAATGTGTCGATACACTCGTACCTGACGTTCCATGTGGTGTTCGGGCAGAAGCCTTATGATGGCTACTAGATATGAGAGGGATTTGGCGTTTGCTGGTACAGGAGTTTGGCAGTGGTTGCACCAAGGTTGAACGGAGTTGGGAGGAAGATTTCTCAGCCATCAACTTAGGTTTCATTCGATTTCGTCAGGGCCACGATGTCCGTGAACTATCAGCACCGAGTGCCACAGATACCTCATTACATGACAAGCCACCATTCTCCTATGCCCTTCGTGGTGGACCAAGACAGTACGATCAAGCAGGCCGTCTATATAGGGTAGGTACCTAAAGTCTCAAGGAGTTGCTGGCTGAGGGTACTAGATGTTCCCCTCAACTACTTCAGAAGTACTCCCAGTACGATCTGAGATCTCCCGTTAATCTACACATCAATCATAGCATCAGCGACAACAGGTCGATGATCTGATATATACACGCCATCGTCAAAATGATTCGGCAGAACCGCATGAGTCAAGAAGTCCATCCCTCTGACCGTCGGATCGCGCACAAACAAGTGGTCAAGAAAAGTATCATCCGACGTGTCATCCGTGAACGCAGTGTACGTCTTCGAGTATCCCACCCTCCTAGACTCAGGAACTACATCCCGAACATCGTGCAAGTTCTCATCCGCGATCAAAATCTGATACGCCGCATTATCCGGCTCGATGTTCAAGTCGCCGCCCAGAAACACCGGCACAGCCCCCTCTGTCGAGTTCTCCCACTCCTTCGCCAAGCTGACCAAGAGCTCTGCACTATGTTCCCTTGCAACCTGACCCACGTGGTCAAAGTGCGTGCACATATACACCAGCGGCAGTCCACTCTCTACATGCTGGAACGACGCGACGGTGACGATGCGCGGGAGCGCGGCGTCCCAGCCCTTGGACCCGGGGACATCAGGTGTTTCGCTCAACCAGTACGTCCGGTTCTCCGTGAGAGTCCAAGTGCCCGGCCGATAGTAGATTGGCGAAAACTCCCCGGCAGCGACGCCGTCATCACGGCCGACGCCGACGTGGGACCAGGCTTGGCCCAGGTCTTGGGCGATGTCGAGGAGTTGTTCTTCGACAACTTCTTGCATGCAGACAAGTGATTCGGGCCGGGCTGCGGTCTCGTAGTTGAGCTGAGAGAAGAGGTGAGGTCTGCGGGCGGACCAAGGTGCTTCGTTGGTTCCTGGGTCTGGGGTGGCCCAACGGATGTTGTAGGTTATGAAGCGTAGAGCGAGGTCGGATGATTGGCAACTGACCAGGCTCGCTCCAAATAACAACGTTGTGACCAGGTAAGACTTCATTGCTGCTTGAAAGGAAGTACGCCTTAGACTCGTTTTACATGTGGCACGGCAGTACAAAATGAATGGAACCAGAACAGCATTTATGACTAGAATCTTTGGTCTGAAGGCTTCCGGAACCTTTACTCTTCGAAACACACATGTTGAATACGATCGGGTGAGGGGAAGCACACTGAGAATCCGGATGGCACGCTCGCAGCTGCAAGTCGTCGTCACATCGTTATTTCAACAAGTCTATTTCTTGACCTTCCGCTTCAGGTTACCGTTAGGCCGGCAATGTTTACCCACGTTTCTCTAATCGACGGCGGGCTCCGGGTTCACGTGGGATCCCAGTGGCCGCTCATTCGCCGAGAAAGTGGATACCATCCGGCCAAGGAGGGGTCGACGCCGGGTCGGAGGCCTTCTCAAGGTGATGGGGCAGCACGGCATCGGGCTTCCCCCCCTCGGAGCCCGCTTCTAGTCTATCGGCTTACTGATGAACTTAACAATCATCACTAGAAGGAGCTCTTGAGCCTCAAAAAAGTCGCTCGAAAAGCTCCATGCCATCATCCCTTCTTAGCTTCTTCGAAGCTTACCCGGTTGAGGCATAGATCGCTGCGCTTGTCTGTTTGGCACTGAGGCTCTGGGCCTCGAACTTGTCTTTTCAAGGTTCATGGGATTATGAGAATGGATATCTCGCTCGCCAGCCAAGACACTCGATCCCAATCTTGCGCCTCAGCAAATTGCCAGAGCTCCTGAATTTCGACCAGCACCGAAACTCTCTTTTTGCCAAGATTTGCCCCAGGTGCTATCCCTAAGGGGGTTCACCGCTCAACACATAACAGTTTCAACGATATTTCAACTCCTCTTGAGTCTTATCAGATCATGTCCGCGGGCTGGAAATGGCATTTTGCCCGAATAGTACTTTCCCTGTACTCAAGCTTCACCGTTATCCTGCATTCTTACCGCAGTACCTATAGGTGGCAGTGAGAATCGACACAGGTTCACACCCACGAGCAACTTCTCTTCTTGGCTCGGCTATCGGATCTGCCCTGTCTCGCACTGACATAAAAGCCGGATATTCCACTTTGTGCGTAAATCCTCAATAATACGAGCCACGAGGTTCTCCTCCTCGTCCACCCACATTCCCGATCCATTATTGGGGGCTGGGCCGCAGGGCAGGTGTTCCTTCGTTGGAAGCTGGGCTCCATCCAGTTCATTTATGCATTGATGCTGAAGAGGCCAGAGCGCCGTTCAGGGGCAGAGCTTCTTGCAGGGACAGGGTTCAAACACGTGTGCTGACAGCCACTATGTTCATGATGCCCGGTGGGATCTTTTCTGCCCATTTACTTTTTGTCACCCATGTGGAGTTTCTGCTGTCAAAGAAGCGGAACAGAGGCTAAAACAAGAGGGTTTTTGGGTCATCATTGGCTAGTGGGAGGATTTCTGCTGCAGTTATTTTGGCCACTGCCTTGGTTTTTGATTAATTTCCGTTGACAAAACGCGCACGTCAGGTTGGAGTAAGGTTGCATCCCAAGTGGATATTCTACAGGATTTTATACATTAGTCTGAAAACTAGCATCCGTACCTTTGACATTCCAACATCCACCCGGTTATTCACGTCCCTTCCTTTCAGTGACGATCCATAGACCCAGGACGACCACCTGAACCTCTCATGTCGTGTGACATTTCAATGTCGACCTGATATGTGTACTGCGCGTGAATGCCACCCTTTTGGTCACTCGGCAGCAAATCCCCCTTATCCGAGTCGCCGTCCTGGAGGCGTTCCCAGGTCTCGTCCCCTCTGCCGTGCACCGTAGCCAGGCTGAAGCCCACGTCGGTCGGGTTGCGGAATCGGTCGCGGCTCCTGGGCTCGAGCGGCTTGCTTCCGATGGTGAATAGACCCGTTTTGGTCCCGCTCCCGCTCGGGTTCGTCTTTTCCGACGTGCCGCGAGTTCGCGCGATGAAACGGCGTAGCGAGGGGACCGATGAGGCGATGCAGCCGATTCCGGTCTCGATGTTGGAGCAGAGCATCGTGTGGGCGACCCAGACTGGAAAGGGCCCTGGTCAGTTTTTCCATGACGCAATGGATTTGATACTTGGGAACCGGAAGAAGGGGAGTGCTTTACTCACATTGAAGGTCTGTCTGGCCTTTGAATTTGTTGACATAGGGGATACGGACCATGGTGATGATAGATGCCCTGGAGCTGCGTTAGTCTTGATGTCGTGGTCTGCTTTCCTGCAATGGTCAAACTTACACCGAGGCAAAGGACAACAGACCAAAGACCTGGAGTTTCGTCTGCGTCTTCATCTGCGTGCCCCAGAGAATGATAGCAGGCACAACAACCAAAGCCAGATCCGTCACAATAGCCGAACTCGTCGCAACGTGGCCGATGGCGATGAGGACATCAACAGAGCTGCACGTTCCCTCGCCACTGAGAATCATCGTGGGCGTCCAGATGGCCTCGACCGGCTGACAGTATAACAGCGTTCCGATAAAGGTGATCATGAAAGAAGCCCACGTGACGCCGAGCAGGACCCAGACCGTGATGCGCAGAGCATTGTTCGTCGTGATGATTCGTTGGATGGTGAGGCAGACGGATGACTTGACGAGGGCGAGGGCGACGACGTATATCAAGATCCAGATGATGTAGATCTTGAGGGCCTCTGAGAACATCCACATGTTGAGCTTTTCTTGCAACGTGCCCAACCCGACGAGGCAGCCGTATATCGTCAGTCCCACGCTTGGTACGTAAACCACCTTTTCACAGGGCAGATTAGCGAAGCTATCCGGTTTCTTCGAAATTGTAAGAGTGGCATACCGTTCCCGCGAGCATCAGTCCATCGTCTAGGCCAAATGTGCCCTCAACGAGGCGCACGCTCGTTCGTACGCCGACACATATCACCGATATGACGAGGAAGACGGATGATATGATGATGATGGCTAGTGGCAGGTGCTCCGGCTCGAGGATTCGTAGATCGGGGTCGACATTCGTTGACAAGGACATATTGGGCGACACGTGGTCTTTGATCAAATCCTTTCTTTTCGTTAAGAAGCAATCCACCCTCACGCCACGGTTTTCGAATGTGGTGTTGACAACAAAAAGTAGGCACTCCCCGAGTTATAAACCTCCGGGTAGAACCCTCTTCGGGGCTTCAAGTGCCGCAGCCGCAGCCTGCAGATCTATACTACTAATGCAGGGGAGCAGGATGGGCCGCTTGGGAACTAAATTCAGTTCCGGTAGTAGGAGGCGGCGTAGCAGTGGTAGTCTTGGGTCTTGGACTGCTCGAAAAGATCAGAACCGGGGATCATGTTCCTGGTTTCCATGGATGCAACCCCAGATATTAACATTTGGGGGGCGCTACTTTGACACTTTGACACTTCGAGAACTGTCATAGACCTCGTAGATGCTCATAGGCTTGCCACTGGTCAAGAAAACCTGATGCAACCAACAGGGACCGCCTTCCAACAAGAAGGGGGCCATAGACCCATGGGCCATGGCAACCGGATGGCCTGGAAGAGGAAAAAAGTCAAGAAGCAGTTCTCGAACTGGGTCTTATTTGCCCACTTTCCCGTCGCCAATGATCACTAATGAAGGAACCGGTCTTCAGGCCGAGAAGGCCCGGGTTGGTTGGAATTGGGGGCCGCTAGCAAAGGCGGCACAACGCTCAGGGGTCCGTTGCAAGAGGATGAGCATCCACCGCTCAAGGACTCCACAGCACTAGGCGAAAGACATCACCAACGTCCGAAGAGAAGCGTCGAAAAAGTTGCATGGAAGGATGGGCTTGACAGTCGACCAATGACGGGATCTGACATGTCGCATGGCAGAACGGCGCTAGTTGAAGCAGCGAAATCCTCTGCCACGATCGTTTTTGGGGGTTGAAACATGTCGATCACTACGACGTCGAAGGGGGCCACAATTGGGATCATCGCCGGCCACAGTAAGTATTCTACGATGGAATTATGGGAGCCGTTGTTGGACGGTCATCTCGTACGAGGATAAGACGAGCCGTTCTGCCGCTTTCGGGTTCCAAGATGTGATATGCCCAGTTCTGATCTGACCGGTCAACGCCCCCGGTTGTGAAAAGCTCGAAAGAAAGGGACAACCAACCCGAGCCGTCCCGAATAGGTTTATTCGTTCATCCTGGGGCACACATGCACGGGGGTTTCTATGCGTAGCGAGACGAGGGCATCCACTCTAGTATGCATGTTTTTGGAATAGTTGAGATTAAGAAATAAACTAAGACGGCCGGGAACGCGGCACCTGTGATAATTAAGTCTAACCATGGGAAACAATCTAAGACTGTTAGACTATCGTCACCCGCACGCCATTCGACCCCGGCTTAGTCACGGGAATGAACATGTCGTGATCGTAAGCAACGTCCTCGTCCGTCGTCTCATACAGACGCATCTTGGGTAGAACACGCAGAGCAAGCGCCGTCAAGCACAAGTTGAGCTCACACAAGGCAAGGCTGTTCAAAAACAAGTCAGCAAACACGGTTCCCACCAAGTCAAGAAGATTTCAACTCACTTCATGCCTAAGCAAGATCTGCTGCCCTTGGAAAAGGCAAGCATACCCTTCTCAACATCCTTTCGGCGTTGGTTGTTCTCGTCCAGCCAGCGCTCGGGAATAAACTGATACGAGTCGGGGAACACAGTCTCGTCATGGTGCGTGATCACAGCAGACATGCCAACAGCGTAGCCAGCAGGAATGACATACTCGACAGGCTTCTTGTTGAACTCGCCGCGGTAGACCAGGTTCTCCTCAGTAGGCACACGAGCAGTACGCGCAGAGACACCGTACGAAAGGCGAAGGCCCTCCTGGAGGACAGCACCCAGATAAGGCAGGTTCTCGAGACTCGTCCAGCCGGGGAGGTGCTTGGGGTCGTCGACGACGGCCTTCAGCTCGTCCTGGAGCTTCTTGAGCAGATGGGGCTTGGTGAGGAGGTGGTACGTGATGACGCCCAGGGCCCAGCTGGTGGTCTCGGTTCCCGCGCCCACAACGGCGGCCGCCTCGTCGGCT